CTATTAGTTAAGAAAAAAAATGGTTCATAGAGGCTTTATGTTGATTATGGGCAACTCAATGCATTAACAGTCAAGGATAAATTTTCAATTCCAGTAGTAAAAAATTTTCTAGACGAACTCAAAAGAGCTAAATTTTTCTCCAAAATTGATCTGCGATCAAGCTATTGGCAGATTAGAGTTTGAGATAAAAATATTCCAAAAATAACTTTCAGGCACACCATGGGCATTATGAGTTTAAGGTAATGCTATTTGGGCTTACTAATGCTCCAACTACTTTTCAATCCCTGATGAATGCTGGTTTTTCTCCTTATTTAAGAAAATTTATGCTAGTTTTCTTTGATGATATACTTGTTTATAGTACCACCTTGCAAGAACATATGTTACACTTACAACTTGTTTTAAAAATGTTAAGGTGTAATCAGTTGTTTGTAAAGAGAAACAAGTGCTTTTTTGGCCAAAAACAGGTTGAATATCTTGGTCACATTATCTCTATGGATGGAGTGGCAACATATCCTTCTAAGGTGGAATCTATGAAAAATTGGCCATTACCTAGCAATTTGAAGTCCTTGAGAGGGTTTTTGGGGTTGACTGGTTACTACAAAAAATTCATCAAAGGGTATGGAGTTATCAGCAAGCCTTTAACAGATATGTTGAAAAAAAATAGGTTTAATTGGATGCCCAAGGCAATGGCATCTTTTCAACAACTTAAAGAAGCCATGAGTACCAATACTAGCCTAACCAAAATTTTTGAAACCATTTTGCTTAGAGATTGATACTTCTTCGACTAGCATAGGAACAGTATTATCCCAATAAAGAAGGCCTATTATTTACTTGAGTAAGGCCTTGGGACCAAGACATGTTGATTTGTCCATATATGAGAAAGAGTATTTGGCCATTTTAATAGCTGTTACTAAATGGAGGCACTATTTGGAAGGAAAGGCATTTATCATCAAAATAAATCATGAGTCTTTAAAATATCTGTTAAAGCAGAAATTGTCCACAACTATACAAAAGAAAGGATTAACTAAGCTATTAGGCTTGAATTATATCATTTAGTATAAGAAGGGTAAGATGAATATGGTGACAGATGCTTTGTCAAGGCAACATGAAAAAAAAAAAAGAAGCTTACAGGCCTTACACTCTACAACCATTATTCCAAAATGGGTTACTGAAATGGAACAGAGTTATGAGAATAATGCACTAGCTCAAGAAAAAAATTACTCTTCTTACACTTAAACCTAGTGATGATCCTCAATACTTATTCACTAATGGAGTGCTCAAGTTCAAGGGTAAGGCATATCTAGGAAGCCAAAGACCACTACATGATCAGGTACTACAGCTATTGTATGATTCTCCTCAAGGTAAACATTCAGGGGTGCAAGCAACTTACTATAGACTGAGGCTTTATTTTTACTGGCCAGGAATGATGAAGCAAATACATGAATATGTTCAACAATGTGAAGTTTGCCAAAAGAACAAAGATGAACATGTTGCTTATCCAGGTCTGCTACAACCTATACCTATTCCTAATCAAGTTTGGGAAGTATAAGATTGATTATCACTTGTAGCTTGTTGAGATGGATTATCTCATGCAAAAATAAAAATTTGAACATTACCTGTATGGCTTATACTGTTTGCTCTTTAAAGATTTTTTGCACTAGTTGTACTTTGAAATCTTAAAAAAGAACTTCTATGAGGAGTATAAAAAGATTGATTGCTAGTTATACTCTCAATATCATCTTCTTTTTATGTTCAAAAATATTTGTTGAAGGTAAAACCAGGTTTGGATTAAAATTGGTTGAGGCATGAGGATTTTTTAAGTAAAAATTTTTTCTTGATGAGAAAAATTTTAAACTTGATACCTTCTATTTTTCAGAGGTATTATCTGAAATATCTTCGAGACACCATCCTCGTGGGATAAATAAATCTTCGAGTTTGACTAATTTTGGTTTGATTTCAGAATCAGAACTATTAGGTTCAAAAAGTTCAATAATATCAAAATTTATCAGTTTGATAAAAGTATTTGTAGTATTTGTAAATTCATAAATTGCAGACCAGTTAATTGAAAGATCATGCGATTTTTTTTCAATATCAGAATTTGTTATTTTGACACGAAGACATAAACATTTTTCAATGTTTTCATCAAAAATAAAAATAAAATAATTTAGTTTAACTTTAAATAAAACAACACCAGCAGCTAAGTTGGATTGAATTCCTCCAATTATAGCATTAGTAGGATTTTTAAAATGATTATCCATTAAAACAGCTATAATAGGAATATCATTGGTAGATAAGAACAGCAGTTTAATGGTGATTAAAATCATACCAATATGGATATATTTAACTTTAGGGTATTTTTTCAAAAAATGGTTTATTTTTTGTTTTATAAAAAGAGGTATTTCTACAGATCCTTGTTTAAAATCATTAGCAACAGTATCATCAAATAATTTTTTTATATGACGTTTATACTAGGGTTAAAATTTTTTAAACCAACTTATTTTGTAAATCTCATCTAGTTTGATGAGTTGCAGTTCTTTGAGTTTGTCTTCATAAATATTATGAGTTTTTCGCATCACGTTTTTTAGTTTAACCATACCTTCTTCAATTATAGTTGTTGTACCTATAGAAGAAGTAACTGAAATATTATCTTAGTTAGATTCAGTATTTATCATGAAAATATAATCAGATTCATAAGAAGAAGAACTATAATCGATTTCAAAAAAAACTTCATAATATATTTCTTTATCTGATGATTCATCTGCAAAAGCAATTAGAAAATTTTTTTTTCAAGTTGTTTAATCATTTTTTGAGCACTTTTCCTTTTGTTAAGGCAACTATTTGCATAGTGATATTCTTAATCACAAATAAAACATTTACAAGTTTGTTTAAAAGATTTTATCTTCTTTTTAACAACAAATTTACCTTTTTTAGGCTTGCTGGATTTACTAGTTTTTTCGAGTTTCCATTTTTTCCAATTATTATGGATTTTATGGAAAGTTTACCCCAGTAACAAAGATTTAATTACATCATGGTTGTTATTGATAAACTCACTAAGTACACACATTTCTTGCCTTTAGCTAATCCCTATAATGCTATAAATGTGGCCAACTATATCTTAACCAAATTCACAAACTTCATGGGACCCCAAAATCAGTGATATTTGATAAGGACAAAGTTTTTTTTGGTTCATTTTGGCAATAACTAATGAAGTTGTTTGGAACTTTTGTACCTCTGAGCATAGCGTATCATCCTGAATCTCATGGACAATCTGAAAGGTTGAACCAGTGTTTAGAACAGTATTTACGTTATATGTGTTTCCTTAGACCAAAAACATGTGCTTAGTGGTTATCTCTAGCAGAGTGGTAGTATAATTTGAGCTACCATTTTGCTTTGAAAATGACACCTTTTTAGGCTCTCTATAGTTATCCTCCTCCAAAGTTTGCTTGGAAAGTTAACAGGAAAGCTAAGGTGTCTACAGTTGAGGAGCTGAGAAGCTGTTAAAGGAAAAAGAGAAGTTGAACAAGCTACTAGTGGATCAATTAAAAAAGGCACAACATAGAATGAAGTTTTATGCTGACAGAAATAAAACTGAAAGAACATTTGAGGTTGGGGATGAAGTGTATTTGAAGCTTCAACCATACAAGCAGACTTCTCTAGCACTTAAAAAAAACTTGAAGCTTTTAGCAAGATACTATGGTCCATATCCTGTAGTTGCCAAAAATGGTAAAGTACCTTATAAAATCCAACTTCTTGAGACTTCAAAGATACATCCAGTATTTCATGTGAGCCTTTTGAAAAAAAATTAGAAGTAAAATTGTGCCTAGGATAACTCCTCATAAAGTGGGTGAAGATGGGCAGCCATTAGTTTATCCTGCTAGGGTTCTTAACAAAAAGGTGGTTAAAAGAAACAACAAGGTTGTCCCTTAATTATTGGTAGAATGGTATAATCTTGGATCAGAGAATGCTACTTGGGAAGATTATTCAGTCCTTAAGTCCCAGTTTCCCTCATTTGATTCTTGGGGACAAGGATCAATTAGAGAGGAGAGTAATGTGATGAAATTGCATGGTGATCATATTGACATGATAGAGTCAAGGTCACAAGGTGAAGCGGAGGTGGCTAAGAAGGTTGAGGTAGATAAAAGAGTTGAGCTGACTGGCAACGCTAAAATGAAAGAAGACAATTATGGGAGCTGATAAAATATAATTGATTGGTTTCTAAATTGTTTTTTATTATGTGCTTAATTTGCATTAAGCAAATTTTAAAATTATTATGCCAGCACATGTATTAAATATAATCCCCATTCGATTGAGAAGTATGAATGAAAATTTACAATTTCTTTCTATTTTCTCAAATTCTCTCCTCTTTGGTCTGGTCTTTCATTTCTCTAATTCTCCTTCTTTCAATCGACTTATTACAGAACATACACTTAGTAGATTTTGGGGGTTCTTGAGATTGAGCTTCCTTGGAAGTATTCTTTCAATGCTTGCCTCTCTGTTTCGTGAATATCGTTCCAAGCAAACCAATCTACGAAGAAGAAGAAGAAGAAGAAACTAATGAAAAAGAAAAGGGAAAAGGGATTTTTTTGGGGGAAAGGAGAAGTAATTCATTGAGGACCTTACTGGAGTAGCTTGGAATGGTGTAGAGGTGGAGCTCTTGTTCTTCGGGTCGAGTTAACTCCGAGTTCGGATCATGGAGAGTGGTGTTCTCCATCCCGAGTCCTTGGCGTGTTTTGGATCGTGTCGGATTTGGATTTGCTCTGTCAATGCTGGGTAAAAATGGGGTTTTCTATTGCGACAATGAAACAGACGCATTAAGTAGCCGACCAATCAGAATCTCCCTTGTGGAGTTTGTAAGGCAATTTTTCAATATAAAAGATTCCCCCGTACCCATAAACACAGAGAGAGCCATATACTTAGTATTTTTTTTCTAATTAAAGACAGATTCATGCTCAAAGACACAGAATACTACATGATTTTTTTTTTTATTTTTTCTTATATTTAAAATTGTGAGGTATAGTTTTGATCATGAATTAATTACTTTAATTAAAAGCTCGAACTCTCTTTACAAACGCAAATCTTCACAACACAGCAACCGCTAGGAATTTTAAAAGTTCAACTAGAAATGATATAAATATGCCTCTGAGAAAAGAGTAAAATGAGTCGAAAATTGATTGCAGCTGACTACACAGGACTTTTAATCAAACAAGAAAATAAATATGACAAAAAAAAACCACAACTAAAGGTGCCTCTAGAAGGAAATGATGCCGCTATTCCTAAGTCATCCTCTGCGCAGCTTCCTTTGCAAGAAGCTTCTCCTTTGCCTTGGTTCTAGCCTGTGACTTGGAGCCCATGATTCCACCTCCCCACTTCTTCCTGTACTCATCGTACTTGTCATTGAAGTTTGCCTGTGATGTAAGTTACAAGTTAACCATATGATTGTATAACTTGAATAGAAGTTAATTTGAAAATATTGCTGGTGCAATCTTATCTTACCTTGATGGCCTCGAGGATTTTGCTGAACTCCAACTTATCCTCATTCTTAACTGTAGTCAAGCACAAGACAGCGGCAGTTTTCTGGTGAACGATCTGCAGTAGCATAAATACATATAAGTAACCTACTCGCTTAACTCTATAATGGCTGAAAAGCACACAAATATGAAAGACAAATACCGATCCCAAACGTGATTTCCCCTTGACAATGCAGTAAGGGACTTCCATCTTTCTGCACAAAGCAGGAAGCCACACAACTAACTCTATGGGATCCACATCATGAGCAATAACAACCAATTGTGCCTTGTTCTGCAGAGGACATAATTAAAAAAAAAAAACCCAATTATTTTTTAAGTATTTTGAAATAAAAAGAATGCACCGTACTGCTATAGCTAAACTGATGAATATGAAGAAATTAGAGGGCAACCTGCTCAATAAGGTAAGTAACATGGTTAAGACCGTATTTCACAACAATTGGTTTCTTAGAGTCGGGAGCTTTTCCTTCAGCCTCAGCCTGGGCCTTCTTCAGGAGACGTTCTTTCTTGGCTGCCTTGTCCTCTGGCCTGTACTTGAGGAGCAACTTGAAAAGATTTGTTGCTGCAATAGGACATAAAATAACCAAAGTTTAAATCCATATCATTATAAGCAGAAAAGGTATTCTGCAGTAAGAAAGGAGGAAGGGAATTAAACACGGATGGAAGAGGCTACAAAAATAAATAAGAATGAAGGACACTACAGGATATGATATCAAACACAGCAGAATAAGCATGTTTACATGAATATAAACAGAACAAAAAATTTGGCACCCACGTATTTAATATTTTGAGTTGAGACAACCAATCTAAACTATAGGTTCCCATACCATCTTCCACAACCAATTACAAACTTCAAGAAGTCACGTTTACCTTTTATTCAATGTGGGAATTCTCCAACATTCCCCCATTTCCATATTTCCATTTGTTATTCTTTTTTCAACTAGACTAATTATCAGGAGAAAGGTCAGAAATATACATTTAAAATAGCAAACTCCATTAAAAAATCAATTCTCCAAACAAAGTTGTACTACAAACCCTAAACCCTGACACCTATGCTAAGTTTACACTTAACAAGAACAAGCAGAAAATTGGAAAAAAATGGAGCTCTGATAGAATCCATTCTCTCTCCCAAATATAATACCAAACCCAAAAACAAAACTAATCAAAGGGTAAAGAAAATAACTATTGAGAATTCCATAATTCACTCAAATTAAAAATTGTGAATCTAATACATAAGTAGGAACAAGTGAAGATTTATTGCTTACCAAGGTTCTTATCAAGAGTCTTGGTAAACTGGTTCAATGCTGGTGGGACCTTTAACCTCTGCTTAAGAATCCTCTTTTTCCTTTGAATGCGAACAACCTTAGGCCACTTCACGAATCGATGCAGATCCTTCTTTGGAGGTAAAGCCCCTCCAATACCAAACTGTTTTGGACGCTTTTCAAACAATGGATTCACAACCTTCTCCTAATTTCCAAAATCAAAAGAATAAACAGATAGTGAGACCACAATCAAGTTATTTGAGGGATTCAGGTGATTAAGAAAGTAATGACAATTACTTGTTTCTTCTTGGCTGGCGTGACCACCTTTCCACCTCTCTTTGGGGCCTGCATTTAACAACAAAGTAAATAAAAACACAAAGATAAACCCTTTAGAACAGGAAAATCAATTCATAGCTCGGTCCAAACAATTTAAACTTATATCAATAGAGTCACTAAGAAATTCTTCAAACAAAAGATGAACTTCACTTGTTTCATTTCGGGAACTTGATATATACCATGGCAACTTCCTAAGCTTCTTCAGAACTTATTAACAAACACAAAAATTAGTTTCTTTTAGCTAAACTAAACTTGCACTAATCTTCAATGGAACCACTGTTCATTACATTATCATAATTGCTGTCATGGGTCTGTTCATTTCTGATAAAATTATCATCTTCCAAGAAATTTAATACCATCTAAACCAAGCATTTATAATAAGCTAGATGAACTGCATCAAAAGCAAAAAAACAAGTAGAAAATCAAAGAAGAAGAAACAACTGAGTACATACACACCAAAAGAAGAAGAAGAATTGAAATGGGTTGTCGGATTTACCATTTTTGCGCCTGCTAAGGCTTCTTCCAAGATTAAGTGAGAACGGCTAAGCGAAACCCTTCAAAAGCACGAAGAAACGGAAGAGAAACAACTAGGGTTTATACAAGAACAAGGCCCACGTTTGGGCCTGTGGTAACAAACTATGGGCTTGTCTGACCCTTTTCCATATGGTCTGATACATCAAGTCCCAAAGCTCCCAACCCAAAAATTCTTCAACTGATTAGTGACTTTTACTCTTTAAGACTTAATTAAATTATACCAGAGTAGGGCTCGGTTTCGCTCGGTCTATTATAATAATTTTAATATTTTATTAAATTAGTACATGTTTGAATTAAAAATTAAAATGATATTTACAATTAATATAAAACAATAATTTAAGAGAAAGTTAAGATTCTAAGTTATTAATTTTAAAGAGTCAGATAGTAATTCTGACTTTATTAGAAAGCTAGAGTCTTATATTTACTTTAGTTAACACAAACCTATTACAAACAAAAAGTAAGTTACCATAAAACAATAACACTTAGTGTTTAATAATCACCTTCAAGATACAAAAAGTAAAAGTCATTTCTTGACCTAACATGGTATCTAGGCAACAAATCAATGCTGTTTAAGTTGCAAAATTATCCAAACCTAAAATGCTCAATAATTTATAATCAATCTAATAGGGAAGAATGAAGCTTATAGAGCTATTTGTGAATATTTGGAATATTGTTTTTTTCAAACTTGAACTCTTCACTACAAAGCTAAAACATAATATATGCAAACCAACCATAGTGAATTGAGAATCATACTACTTCATTTATAAGTGAAAGATGATACCATGGATAAAAAAAAAATATTGTCACCTTCATCAACCCTTTTTTCTCTTGACAGATATTTATATAACGTAAAGCCTTTTTATACTTTATGAGAGCCATCTTATAGTCTTGTTTCTATAAAGGAAATTCATTAGCACAAATGAGACAACAAATGAAAAACTAAAAAGGAATAAAAAAAAAAAGAGAAAGAATAAGTTATAAATCCATGAAACACCATCTTAAAATATCAAATGTAGCAAAAACGTTGTATAAGCACAATCCCATTTGGCAATGAACCTATTACTGCATCAATAAACATCAATAAGCCTATTACCTTATAATGTTCATTTCTAAAAGCTTTAATAGAACCTACAGCAGTCATCCACCTAAAGAGTTCATTAGGACTGTCATCAATGTCAATTGGACAATCATTACAAATATCACCATAATTGAAAATTTTGGGTATCCTGTCATCTGCCCCTTAAAGAATTTCTCTATAGTCAACAATTATAACATCAACAATAAAACAATCAGCTTCACCAATTTTTATATGTTTGATTGAACAAACAACTCCCATTCATTTGACAACTTTGCCAAAAATAACATGTTTTCCATTTAAATAAAAAATGCGAGTTGCAGTGATGAAACATAAAGACCCATTTATGTTAGGACCAGCATTTGCCATAAAGAACATACCTTTCTTTTCATGTTTCAATTGAAAATTTTAATCTTCAAATTTCAAACCATAAATCGACTTTCCTTCAGTACTATCTCCAGCAGATATATTTGCACCTTGTACCATAAATTCTTTGATATTATTGTATAATAATTTTACAATATTTAGGTTAAACTCGAAGTTACAGTACATGTATGAATAAGTTTATTTAGGTAAAACTTGAAGTTACAGTACAAGTACGAATAAGTTTATTCATAATTATGGTAGATGATAACTTTGAAAGTGTTATACGTGATCATTGCAAATAGACAATAGTCACCTTTTTTAAAATGATTATTAATAACAAATTTGTTATAAGAGACCGTCTAGTATAAAGTTAATTTTTTTGTTTTTACAGAGAAAAACATACATCAAAGATAAGGAAAAGATCAATACTTAAAAGAACTAAAAGTAAAAGGGAAATTTTAAGACATGGAAAAGCTTCCATCCATTTAGCATGTGAAGATCTTTTGCTATTTGTAAGACATTAATTTTGATGAGGAAAATCTAGACATGTTTAAGGGAAACAAATATTATGAAGAATATCCGATTAAATTTTGAAGACCATATTTATTACTACTATTAATTAGAAATTGAAAAATTACGAAAGAAATTAAGCTCAAGCTTGAATCCACTGTTTAAATTAATTGATTTATTCCTTTAAAAAATACCATGTTTATGCCTTCCATTTTATTATATTTTTATTATATACCTCGTATTTAAATTTATACCTTAATCTTTACTAAAATATTAAAAAAGGCATTAAACTATTTAATTTTATTTAAATAAATCCCTATTTTTTATTATATATAAATAAATATCTATATTTTCATTTGTATTTATATAAGTCTTTATTTTAAATAAAAGATGATTTATATTAAAAACTTATTTAGGTATAAATTAAATATTAAAGGTTTATTTGCATACAAATTAAAAGTTAAATGTTTATTTATGTGTAAATTAAAAATTAAGAGCTTATTTTGATATAATAAAAGTATAAGAATTTTAGCGCTTAATCTTTGAAATGAAAAGTAATTAGTATTTTCAAGATAGGTTTAGTTGTTTGATCTTGCTATTTGGTAATCGAACTTTGAATAATCATTAAGTTAGATCTTATTTTACTTTTTAATTAAAATATTAAGTATATAAAAAAATAAACTTATATGTGAACATAAACTGTGAAATTTTAACAATAACCTTTAAAATATAAAAATTTTGGATGATATATAGTTGTCATGGACATGTTTGTAACATATAGCCAGGCTCAAAACAACCATATATAGCATGCATGCATGGTTATGGACATGTCTATCATTTTCAGTGGACCTATGTAATTTTCATTTCCTATTTCTCTTCCTACCACATTTATGATAAAACAGTCATATTAACAAATAGATAAATGCAAACTCTTACTTTTTCACTTTCTTATGTACAAACCACATGGGCAAATCATTAGCCAATCTGTATACTATTTTATGATAAAAACATACACTAATTATTGATTAATTGAAAAATAATCAATACTAGTTATGGTTATTGAAGCATGATACCTAAACAGAATCTAATAAATGTGGATTAGCTGGAAGAACTGGCATTCTATTTAAAACATTTTTTATTATTAATATTTCTTCAAAGTACATCATTTGATAGAGCTTTTTACAAACAACTAACAAAGCAAACATGATAAATGGTTTCATACGTTCCCATAAAATGTTGACCAATGTCCATCAATTTTGCCACATTCTTGTCACCATTATGAACAAACTCCAGAATCTAAGATGGAAATATATGAAAAGAGATATGAAAGCTCATTTTTCTTCAACCATTTCTAAAAAATAATAATAATAAAAAGAAACTTAGCTCATAATCTAATAATTTGATTATATGAAAATTTTTTAATGAAATCCTTATTTAGTATTCCATTATATGAAGAGATAATAAAACTAAATATCTTGAAGATGTACATTATCAATTGCATAACAACATCAAATTTTATTTTAACAAAAAAAAAAGTGAAACATATACAAAAGTGCTTATATATGAAAAAAAGCTTAATAGAATTTGAAGATGAATTATCAGCTTAGAAAAATCAGTATAGTTGGTAGGCAGATAACTTTCAAAATTAAGTTTATTCATGAAAATGTAAATCATAACTTGTATTTTAATATGTATTTTATACACATTTGTATATGTGGGATAGGAATAAACAAATGTAGCAAAGTAAATGAATCACCTAAGAGGTAATAAAAGCATTAGTTTAAATATAATTGAGTTTAAACCCTTGTGTCAGATGCTTATGGGCAAAGTATCATGTATTATGAAGGCCTAGCTTATCAACTTTTGCATTATGAATTGGGTGTCTATTTATAAAAAGGCAAGGGATGGTTTAGATCTAATATCAAATGCATTTTTCTAGTTAACGAAAATTAAAACAAGTGGGATAAGTGAATACCTGCATAATATAACAACTATTGTAGTAAAGGCAATTTTATAAGATAAAAAATTATAATGAATTTTAACTTAATCCCCAATAACATTCAACAATACATGTATAAAAAAACACTAATTAAACAAAAAACATAAACTAATAAAAAAAAAACCCAATCTAATTACCATATGTGCAACATACAATAAATATTTTAAACAAATATTTTAGAAAAAAAAAAACCTAACAATAAATATTTTAAACAAATTAAAGAAAAAAAAAGCCTTGAAAAAATTTTGTTCAAAATCCCTATGATTTATTCAAAACTTTTACATGTCTCGATTAATATAAAAAAAAAGTCAGAGAATCCATACCGAATCAGTTGCACCAGAGATAGCTAGTTTCATAAATGCAAAACCATACATTTTACTTACAATCATTGTACATTTAACTCGTTACTTAATTACTATAAAAATCAAACAAAAACAAATTTGATTTAAAACTTACCATCAAAGCAAATGACCAAAAACTAATCAACTCAATGAAATTAAATTCGACTAATTCACAAAACTCTCCATTACAACTTCCCTTTCATTATTTAGTTCCCTATAGGTTTTCACTTGATTCAAAACTTTTTGGTCAAATAAGATCAATCTGAATAGCAACTTGACTGGAAACTTAGCTCTATAGCCTCTAATCAAGTCAAGATTTAAAACTCAAACTTTTCATAAAACGGTGACATTTCCTTAAATCGGGGTTGCAGATTGAGAAAGTTTATAATAAGGAGAAAACAATAAAAGAGGGCCATTGAAATGAGCAATTCATTTAGAAAATAGATGATAAAAAAAGTAAGACATGACTATAAAAAAATATGGCGAAGGAATATGAAAGAGAGGATAGAGATAGTAAAGCCATTGAAATGTGTTAGGTAAAGTATAGATAAGTCAAACAACACTTACACCTATAAACGCTATTAGATGCCACGTGTGTATCATTGTCTTATCCTTGTTGACAACTCACTGATAGAGACTCAAATGTAAAATTGTTAAAAAAAATGTCATCATAAGAATCTTTAAGGATTCTTTTTATATAATGTAGTATTGATGTTATGTTTATTTTGATGATAAATATATATAATATAATAATTATTATATATAACTCATGTAATATATCAAAATATAAATATATTTTTTAATTTTTATCAAATTTATATTTTTTTTTATCAAAAAATTTAACTTTAGGTTATATTTGGATTAAGGGAAAATAAAGGAAAGTAAGGGAAAAAAAAAAACTTTTCATTGGTTTGATTTACCATTTACATTTTAATAAAGGAAAGAAAAGGAAATTAAGCATTCCTCCATTTCTTTCAAAATTTTCAACTTTTAATCATCTCATATCAAGATAAATATGAAGAAAAGGAAAAGATTAAATTTTTTAAATATAAAATAATTTTCTATTCTTATTATATTTTATCATTTTTTAATAAATACTATTATAATATTCAAGATTAATCATTGATGTTAACTATTGATACTACTTTTAAAATTTTTGCAACTTATTACTTAATTATTTTGTTGTTAATAACTTCAAATTTTATATATTTTTAATTTATCCTTAGGTTTTAATTTTTTTTTACTTTGTTATGACCTTACAAATACTAAATAATAAAAATAAAAGAATATGACAAAACATATACAATGATAGGAAAATGTTAATACTTGAAAAAATTTATGGTTATTTTTATCTTAATAATAATATTTAAAATTTTAATTTTCTCATTTATAGGTTAATTTTGAAAAAAATTGTAGTATAAAAATAATTATAAACATACATTTTTTATGAATTAATTATTAATAATATTCTCTTTAATTAAAATTATTTTTATTAAATTTTAAAAAATTTTAAAATAATCATTATCAAAATTATTCACATGATAAAAAAAATATTTTATTTTAAAAGGATATAATTGAAGTAATATAATATAATATCTCATTTCCTTTCTTTTTCACAACTTAACCAAACAAAAATTATAATCAATCATTTCATTTCTTTTACTTTATTTATTTTAACTATTCCAATAAGGAATGAAATATCATTTCATTTTCTTTAAAAACCTTTATTTTCTTTTCCTTTATTAACTTCAATCCAAGCATAGGTTTATAGTTTTCATATTAATATAAAAAAAAGGAAAAATGATGTGTGTTTTTACAAAAAAAAGAAAAGAATTGTTTGTTTTACTTTTATTATGCCAGGTAAAAAAAAAAGTGGATAGCTGTAAAGTCTACAATATGCAAAAAAATTAATTCAAATCAAATGAAAAAAAAATCTATTTGAATCAAATTTGTTTAGAATAATTTGATTTGAATCGAATTTGATTTGATTTTTTACAATATTATGAATTTTTAAAATTAAATTTTTTATTCATACAATTCAATTTAAAATCAAACTAAATTTTATTAATTAAATTTGATTTGATTTATCATTTTTTAGGTTTTAATTTTTTTATATATTATTTTAATATAAAATTCTCATATATTTAAATACTTTTAATATAAAATTATTATTTTTATTTTTAAAAATTTAAAATATGTATAAAAATTAATAAAAATATATAATTTATTTCTATTTTTTTTACTTTTTTACTTCCCATAACCTAAATGAGATATAAATATATATTATATATATTTAATAACAAAACTTAATTTAAATAAAATAACAAAAAATCCAATATAAATAAAATGAAATACTATAATTTTAAATCAATCCTTAATTATTTTCGATTTCTTTTCTACCAATATAACAACAAGCATCTAGCTGGCAGCAGCACACAGTTAAAACATGGAACGCCAAGGGAAATAATAAATGAATAAAAATAAATAAAATAAAATAAAAACCCAAATCCCGCTCTCCGCCCAAAACATTTTTTTGGTTGCCCGCTCGTTCCTCCCTCTTCTTCTCATCTCTCCCTCGCGCGCCCTTACCAAATTTCATTATTCTTATCTGAAATTCCCCAAATCTAAAATCCTAAAAAAAGTCAAAATTCCAAAGACTTGTTTTTCATTTCACTGGATCAGTCTCACTCTCTCTCTCTCCCTCCCTCTTGATCTTTTAGGGTTTCTTTCAATTTTAGGGTTTTCGGGACAACCAAGTCATTTTGCTGTTTGATTGGTGGTTACTATGGCGACGGAAACCCTAGACGAGAAGAAACAGGACGAGGAGGCTCCTCCAGAGAACGATAAAGAGGAGGCTAAAGAAGAGAAAGAGAAAGAAAAAGAGGAGGTTTCCGAAAAAGAATTTTCTCGGGAAAGTGAGGGAAATAAGGAAGTTGAAGAGAAAGAGGAGGGGAAAGAAGAGAAAGGTGAGGAGACTAAGGAGGAAGAAGGAGAGAACGAAGAGGATGGGACTAAAAATGCCGAAGATAGTAGTCGAAAGCGAAGCTCAAGGAAACCGAGTCGAGATTCGGCTGAGAAGAATGAGCCTGTGACGCCGAGTAGTGACAGGCCTACAAGGGAAAGGAAGGTCGTTGAAAGGTACTCTGCTCCTTCCGTTGCCAGGTCTTCGTCTGCCAAACCCTTGTCAATTGAAAAGGTAATGCTTTTGGTTAAGGATTTGATTAGTTTTTTCCCTCTTGTTTTTGGGTTTGATTGTTTCTTAAGTTTGCCTTGCTTGCTTTCAGGGTCGCGGTACACAGCTTAAAGATATTCCAAATGGTATGTATCTTTTCTCTTTCGTAAATGTTTCTATCAAGGTACTGCTTTGTGTTTTTTTTTTTTTTTTTAAATTTTATTTCATGGGGATTTGATAGTGCTTATATTCTTTATTCAATTCTGGACGACCTGTAATGTAATGTTGTCGAGGTAATAAACTTTGTACAACTTGGGACTCGGTTAAATTTGGTGCTTTACACTATCCGAAGGGTTTGCGATTTGTGGCATGCCTAAACTATTTGAGACTTACTCGTTAATTATGCATTGGATTCACATTTGAGGAAGCAGAAAAGTCAGTCTTATAACACATGTCGATGAAGATGTGAGTAATGGCATTCAATCCAATATTAAAACTTGAGTTACACTGTTGCCCTGTGCTGTTTTGCCATTTTGACTGTTATTGAGCTTAATAAGCATTATAACAAATAACTAAAATGGAGGAATACTTGTGTTAAACTCTAAAAACTTTAAAGTTTGTGAAATAGGACTGGATTTGAAGCCTTTGGAACTTCTATGATAGCCTATTCGGTTCTTGTTTTCTGAGTATTAGGATTTCATACCAATAGTTTTGTTGTGGATTGCCTTGCTTAGTAGGAGTCTTATATGTGCTTGAATTGCTTATGAATTTCCTAGATGATGTGGTAATATTTGACTACTATCAATATTTTGTTCTTACTGCTTAACTCTTGCTGTTTTCATCTAATATTTAACTCTCGAGATTGTCTTGGATGACAGAAAGATTCTAATTCTTGTTGTGATTACATTTTATTTGAAGTAATATTGTTTATGTTTATTCAACTTTGTTTTTGCCGCAGAATCTGGCCTATTTTTTCTCTGATATTGTAAATTGTTTCAGTGGCCTTCAAGTTGTCAAAGAGAAAACCTGATGACAATCTGCAGATGCTTCATATGATACTCTTTGGAAAAAAGGCAAAGGTAATTGATTTTATCTTGTCTTGTTGTTCCATGATGCTTTTTATGTACTAATTGTATTTTTCCTTTTACAGCCTCACAGTTTGAAGAGAAACATTGGCAAATTTTCAGGCTATGTTTGGGTTGAGAATGAGGTATTTTCTTCTATCTTATGAAAGTTGGTTTTATTCTTTTTATTTTTAGTTGTGTATCTGCATGATTCTCATATTGCATCTAGTAAAAGTAGGTTTAATTTGAAGATACATTGCCTATGTTTGACTTTTTGCATAAGCTGTTATTCATTAAGTGAAACCTTGTTAATGGCCATTTTTTTATCTTTTCAGCAGGAAAAACAAAAGGCAAAAGTAAAGGAAAAAATTGACAAATGTGTTAAAGAAAAATTGGTTGATTTCTGTGATGTGCTGAATATTCCAATAACAAGGGCCACTGTAAGAAAGGTCGGTAAGAAATACATACAATGTATATTGTTGTTTATGTAGTAATTTCGCTTGTTTATTTGGGATAACTCATTTCATTTTTCAGGAGGAAGTCTCTGTCAAATTGTTGGAATTTCTGGAATCTCCCCATGCTACAACTGACATTCTACTTGCTGACAAGGAACAGGTGCAATGTGATTTCATAATCATTTGCATGCTATGTAGCATTTGTTATGATTAACTGTCAGTTTGGGACTGAATGAGATTCTCTATTGATCTTGTTTCAGAAGGGTAAAAAGCGTAAATCTACACCAAGCAAAAACATTGGTTCTGGGGAAGCATCAGATACGTCAGCCAAGGTTTGTCTTGTTGGGTTGTGTTCCATTTTGGTATATATCGTTTGTTGTCCACTTTATTTATCTATGACCGTGGATTAGTGTTTATTTCTGCATGTATTGCTGTGTGCTTTTGTATTTTAAAATTTGTTGATTCAATCTTTGTTTAAATGTCTCTTTTATTGTGTGTCATTTTTACCTCCTATTCAGTGCTGAGTTTAAAATTCGTATGATAAGTGTGACATGGTTAATTTTTTGTGTTAATTAACCATAAAAACAAATGATTTATGCATGGGTGGTAAAGTTTTGTTCTTATTTATTAGGTTCTTTATAGAATATATATGTTGGTCTAATAAGATATTATCAATCTGATCATTCATTAATACTATCACTAATGTTGTTAAAATTGGTTTTTTTCTTTTTTTATTTTGCTAATAAGAATGAAGTTTTAGAATTGTCAATTTGTCATTTTTTTGTGAAGGTCATTAAATAATTATGGCCCATCAAAGTTGGTGCTCTCTAGACTTGAACTTGCATCCCTATTTAATCTTTTCTTTCACATCCCTACTCTGGCTGCTGTGCATGTATTGTCTTTTTTTTTTTTTTTTAATTTCTTTGTTTTTGTATTGTTAATAAAGTAGTGAATCTAGTGATGCTTATTTCATATACATGTTAACTTGTTTTTTGTCTGGTCATGGAGAAATTTTTTCTTTAATTTGTTCCTAAAATTTGTCAAGTTGTTTATGAGGTTTTGTGCTCATTCATATTGGTTCCTTTGTACTCCTTTTTATTCAGTTTAGTAACACTTCTGGTGGTTTATTTGCTAGTTTAAATGATTTTTTCCCTTGAATATTTATGGATTCAGTATAAGGTGTGTTTCACATGGTGTTTCATGAGTTATCTTGAATGGATTGTGGTTCCTATTTGTTTATGGTGGTACCCATCGATATCTTTTGGTTTTTAGTTATTATTAGACTCTCGTCATCTTTTTATTCTCTTGAATCTTATTGTTTGTTCATTATCATCTTTCCCAAGGTTCATGTTGAGAATTTCACTTTGATATGAATTAGTTATGTTGATTGTGCTTGAGAATGAGTGTTGGTTCTTGTAAATGTTAAAGGTGTAATTGATTGAGTTTGAGTTGATATAGTATTAAGTTTGAGCTTGAGTTTGATTTGAAATTTGAAGCTTGAAATTTGGTTTGAATTTGATTTAATTTTATTTTTTTAATTCGAAATTAACTTGAAATAAAAATTAAATTACTTGAGTTTGTTCGATTTGACTTAATTAACATGTAAAAATAAGTTTGATTTTTATATTCGACAAAAGTTTGAGTATTTAAGCTCGAGCTTGAAATATTTTATTAATTAAAATAATAAAAATATATTTAAATATAAAAGTTTGATTAAGCTTGTGAGTTATTCGAGTTGGGTATGAAAATGTTTGAACTTAGCTTGATTGATGAGTTGAGTTACTTGAGTTCAAGTTTGACTCGATAATAATTGAGTTGAATTTAAGTTTTATTCAAATTGAATTCGAATAACTTGTGAGTATTAATGTATCATTTACACCTCTAGTAAGTGTCATACACAAGCACATTCAGTTTTGGTACAAAGTTCCCATCCTTTATTTTTAATAAATGTAGTTTCAATAATTTTTTTTTTGGCCAAAAGTTTCAATAAATTCTTAATTTGGTAGATTTTGACTTCCTCCTTTCTTTTTTTTTTTGTTTGGAGGAACCAAAGTTTATACTTAATTTTTGTTTGGGTGAAGCTTGGATTACAATTTCACATATTTTCTGTGTAAACTCTCAAATAAGTATGTGCTGCTGAAATGTAGTTGCCAAATGCTTCTTGAGAATGATAACTTTTCTCTCATGTGTATCTGTTTGCTTGTCTCTGTACTATTTTTAATCGTCATGGCGTTTTTGGTGGCTGAAAGTGCTTGATGCTTGTTATTTCTTTCCAATTTTGCTCTACATAAGCGACAAAGAACAACCCAGGGTGGGGAAAAACATAAGCATTCCTCCAAATCTGAGGAAGAAGATGAAGATGATAAAGTTGAATCCCCTGTCGCTAAAGATGATTCTCATGAAGATGATGCTGATGCTACACCTAAAGCAGAGAGTGATGATGAAGAGACTAAATCAGAGGAAGAAGATGAACCCAAGAAATCAAGCAAAAGAAGTACTTCAGAAAGGATTACAATGGAGAGTCCGGAGTCAAAAAGCAAGGATAAGTCTACATCTGGAAAGAAGCTTACCCATGCAAAATCTAGCAGGAAATCTTCTGGATCAACTTCAAAAACAGGGGATATTGATGTTGATGGGACTTCTGGATCAAAATTGAAGGGTTCTGCATCAAAAAAACAGAAGGTTGGAAAGGAAACTTCTAAGGATGGCAGTTCTTCCACCAAAGACAAGGTTGCTGGCAAGAAGCAAACAAACAAGTCACCAGCAAAGGTTTCTGCCAAGACTCGAGGTAGATTTCTCTAGCTATACTGTTGAAACTTGAAATGTTGTGCATGTTTACTCTGGGGATTTGTTCACTAGGTTTTTACTAGATCTGGATGTGTTTATGTGTGGATATTTTGAGTAGTTTTGTATTTATTATTTTTTATTCCATTGAGTTTATGCTGTGACAGGAAAAGGCAAAAGTGGCAAGAAGCCTACAGGAGAGCCTAGCAGGGAAGAGATCCATGATGTAGTAGTAGATATTCTAAAAGAAGTGGACTTCAACACTGTAAGTAGTGTCTTTGTCAGTGTTTTGGAGTTGAAATGATTAAAATCAATATAGTGCTAAAATTTTCTTCTGTTTGTGATGCAGGCAACATTATCTGATATTATTCGACAACTTGGTATGTTCACCTTTAGTTATTAAAGTATTTAAGTTACAATATCAATTTTGACTTGACTAATTATAAGATTTTGATAATGTCAGGTAAGCACTTCAATCTGGATTTGATGCATAGAAAAGCTGAGGTGAAGGATATTATTACAGATGTGATAAATAACATGTCTGATGAGGAAAGTGAGGAGAATGCTGATAAAAATGGGGATGGGGATGATGATGATGATGCTTAATTCAATCGAGGAATTATATGACCATGTAAAACATGTGAGATATGTGCAGTTATCAGTAATTTATCTCCCTCCTGGGATTTCATTTGCAATTCTCATACAATTATAAATTGTAGTCTCATTTTAGATGTTCAATAGGTGGGATTGTATCATATGATATGAGTTAGTGACTTATTTTTTTTGTAGTATCTTATTATTGCTTGTTTGGCCTCAATTTACAAATTTTTTTAGTTTTTTTTTAAGTTGTTCAAGTTGTATTTAATTGTTTAGGTGTGGTTGGATGCTATTCATATAAATGTTTTTTGGGTTAGGACTTGGGACTGTTAAGAGTGTCAAAAACTTTTAATACGACATACTAGTGCGTTGGGGTGAAATCAAGAACAAGTGCAATTAATTCGTCCAACTTTTCTCTAATTTCAGTGGTGATGTTATTGCACCCGAGTTAAATCAACCTGTTTTGAAAAATTCTATTATGGGTGTGTGCCTGTGTGGGGTTTTCGTACTCCTAACAAGCTCTTTGTGAGGTCTCTAAAATCAAGGGACATAAGTTTCCTTCAACTGTCATATTTATGGCATTTGTCGATAACCTCGACTCGTACATGTCTTCAATTTTTCATCTGTTCATCCCTCCAATGCTTACTCTTCTCTGCCCCTTATATGTTAGCTAGGTGAAAAATGCTTACAATATGTGATTCAGTTCAAATGATTCATCCACCAGCTGGAGTCTGTTAAGGTTAGGGCTTGATCTACAGCGTTTTCATTTAAGGCTGTCGCTGACCTTACAAAATATACGCTTACTGTTTGGTAGGGGTGAAGTAGACAAAAAGAGCTTGCTTGCTGCAACTAAAAGATTGAATTTTTGAAGAGGTGTATTTATTCTGTGCTGTACTCCTTTTGACTTAGCCCTTTTTCCACTGGAATAAACGTGTTAAACAGGATAAGATTTTGATTAAGATTATGAACACTTCTCTACTTAAAGTTTTGATTGAAGTTTTTGAACTAACGACCATTTAAAATTCGTTTAAAATATTATAGGTTAATCGATTCTATTTGATCTAATCCAATATATAAGATTAACATAAACCTCTGTTTCTTGCAAGACTAGAACATTAGCAAGGCATTGCAGCTTCTGATGATGCTTTCCCCTCCCAAGATTACTCATAATCAACGTTGATTAAATGCTCCAAATCATTTTCTTTCATTTGTTTTTGAAACTTTTTTTATATGGAAAACGCTATTCACCAAGGAAACATTTATTATTGATGATTTTGGAAGTCAGTTTTGGCAAAGGGTTCAGGTTTTCGTGTATTTTGGTTTATTGGCCATGATCGGCATTGAAATCCCATAGTCTGATCATAGTCATAACTCCTATCTCTTGATTTGTAATAAAGTATAGAATCAAGCAGGAAATTCAGGAAACAGACATGTGATTTCTGCTCTTAAAACTTTACTTAGATCAAGATGTAAAAAGTTTTATCAAGTAACCTACCTTTGGAAGCCAACTAAACCAACCAACCCCACGGTCTCTCTTCCCTCTCACGCCCGACTTCCTGGCCGGTGAAATTTTGGTGCATGAACCAGTAGCCTACCCCAACTCAAATGGCCTTAGTTCAAGCTGTAGAAAAGATCCATGTCCTAAAATGGAATCAAAGGTAAACCCTTTCTGTCTTTTGTCCCTTTTAATGAGTTTCTCCAATTGAAGGGGCTTAACACATACGAAACATTTCTACTCAGTCGTCAGCAACTGTCCCTATCATATTGTAAGATTTTTCAACTTTTTTGCTCAAACTTTTGCTATATAACTTCTACTCCAGAGCAAAGGAACATGCAAAAATCAGTTGGATTGCTGCTTCCTAATCTTCTTTCCTGTTCTCAGGTATGTTTTCAGTAATTTGATTCTTACTCAATACATCAACTAAATAGCTCACTTTCTGTTTGTTCTCTGATATCTGTCATGTACTGGACAAGGTTTTTAAGCTGTTCATCCTGTGACTAGGAGGGCAAATATGTGAAGGTCCTTTTATTTTTGTCAACTTAACTTTTATGTGAACATCAGCTTTCTTTCAGTTGTGATTAGGTTTGGTTTCTGAGGAGCTATTGGGATGGCGGATGTTAGCAATGGTACCTTTGAATTTAGCGTAAGCCAGGGAGAACCAACTCGAGTTCTTCCAGCTGAAGAGACAGAGAAGGGTCTCTACTACCTCTCAAACCTAGACCAAAACATTGCAGTCATAGTTCGTACTATTTACTTCTTTAAGTCAGAGTCTAAAGGAAATGAGGACGCTGTGGAAGTAGTGAAAAATGGCCTGTCAAAGATTCTTGTTTACCATTATCCGTTTGCTGGGCGACTAACAATCAGTTCAGAAGGGAAGCTCATAGTGGACTGCACTGGGGAGGGGGCTGTCTTTGTCGAAGCTGAAGCAAATTGTGGACTAGAGGAGATGGGGGACATAAAAAAGCCTGATCCTGTCACTCTTGGAAAGTTGGTGTATGAGACTCCTGGTGCTCAGAATTTACTTGAGATACCTCCTTTGGTGATTCAGGTTTGGAGATTGTCCAACTCTTTTGTTTATTGTTTACTTGCATCAAACTGATCCGTTGGCCTGTACAAGGCAGAAAGAAAACCTGTGCAATTGAATTTTATTTATCAGTTCGACAGTTACTACTACTTGAACCAGCAGCTTCTTTTTCTGTTCTTTTATAGCAGGTTTCCTCTTTAAGTACTGTTTGATATCTTTCTTTTTTCTGAATAAAATCGATATCATCCTTCAAAGGAAACTATGGTAAGAATCTTGTTTTGCAGGTGACCAAGTTCAAGTGTGGAGGATTTTCTATTGGGATGAGCATGAACCATTGTATGCTAGATGGGATTGGAGCTATGGAATTTATGAATGGATGGGGTGAAGTTGCCAGAGGCTTGCCCTTAAAGATCCCTCCGTTTTTAGATAGGAGCATACTAAAAGCCCGCAACCCACCTCTGATAGAATTTTCACACCACGAATTTGATGAGATTGAAGAGATATCAAACACAGCCAAGCTGTATGAAGAAGAAGAAATGCTCTATAAATCATTCCTTTTTGACCCTGATAAGCTTGGACAACTGAAGGAAAAAGCCATGGAAGATGGAGTTCTATCCAAGTGCACCACATTTCAAGTCTTAGCAGGCTTTATCTGGAGAGCTCGGTGCCAAGCATTAAACTTACTCCCAGGGCAACAGACTAAGCTCCTCTTCGCCGTCGATGGACGGCAAAGATTTACCCCTCCATTACCTGAAGGATATGCTGGTAATGGTATTGTGTTAACAAACTCAATAGTTACTGCTGGTGAGTTGCTCGAGAAACCACTGTCTTTCGCGGTGGGATTAATCCAACAGGCGATCAAATTGGCTACAGACAGCTATATGAGATCGGCCATTGACTATTTTGAAGCAACAAGAGCTAGGCCTTCTTTAGCTGGAACTGTTCTGCTTACAACGTGGTCTAAGCTATCTTTCTACACAATAGACTTCGGATGGGGAGAACCTATTTCATCAGGGCCTGTAGCTTTGCCAGAAAAACCTGTTATTCTTTTCCTTCCTCAACAGAAAGATACGAAAAGCATTAGTTTGCTTTTGGGATTGCCAGCTTCTGCAATGAATATCTTCGAAGAACTAATGCAGATTTAAAAAATAGTCGGAGGATCTGTTCTATTCTTGTATCGACAGACACACATACTAAAGTTCTATTGTTGAAGCATTTGTCATCATTGTTGATGTCGGGGGAATCTAGTGGCTGGAAAAGGAAGCAAAGTATCATAAGAGTTAATTTCCCAAACGGAGGATGGATTCTCTATGGTGCTAAGAACATTAAGGCTGTGTCAAATGTACACTTGCAGTTCTGAGGCTTCATGTCAGTAGTTGTCTTACATTCAAGAACCAAAATAACCTCAGATCAACTAGCTTCTGAGTTCTGAGTCATATATTTGTTTATGTGATAGTGGCATTCTTAGTCAAATGGGCGTCTGTATTGTTTCTTTCAGCCATGTACTCGTATCCAAAGTAAGAATTAATACTGTATTGGAATAACAAAGCCTGAAGAGGCCTATGAAATGCAACTGCTTCGTAATTCTGTGATTCAACTATGAGAAATGCAGTCTGTAAGAGCATATATTTTACATTTCTCAGAGGATCACCTGCCATATTGGAAAAGAAATTCCAGGTATTTAAATTTGAATTCCAGATCTGTTGAATGACTCAGATTCATTGCCTAATCCTTTTTAAACCCCTTTTTCTCCGTTCAGATTGAGCCAGACATTTTAAAATTTTCCATGAAATATAAAATACCATGTTAATTCTTTTCCTCACACAAACAAAAGGGAGCAATCAAGCCCATTAATTCATTTCTTGGTGATGTAACAGATATCTGTCAATCATCTAATTAATCCAATCTGCTTAATTTAGCAGAAGAATAAACGTCTAGATCACCCTGCGAGAAGTGAGGGCCTCCCAATACCATCCACCAAAGTTGAATCAGAATCAGTCGAAAGAGGAAAAAACGAGGAGCAGCTCATTGATTAATTGATATTACTCATACCCAATAACTACTTTCTGCAACTTCCAATAACATTGTTGCATCAATCATTGTCATGTGTGTGTCATGAGGCCTACCACGTTAATGCATGTGATAAGACGGATTTCCTTTAATTTCGTTGACTCAACTAACATGGTTTCATTGCTCTCTCCGAGAGCCGGGCAGGCATCAATGGCCATTGGAGGAGCGGAAATGGTCAACATCGATTCTGGAGGCATCAGGAACATTAGTCATATATACTATTGACGATTTATTATTAAATTATGACTGAGTAGCAATGAAATTATTAATAATTTATTATTAAATTACTAATAATTTATTATTAAATTATAATTGATTTACTATTAATTTATCAATGATTTAATATAAAATTATTAATAGTTAATTAATTTACTATAAATTATCAATAATTTATTACTATATTATTATATATTTACCACTATGTTATTATTTATTTACTACTTAATTATTGATTATTTATTACAAAATTATTACAAATTAAATTTGTTATTAAATTATCCATCACTATCAAGTTATTATTGATTTATATTTAATTATCAATAATTTATTATTAAGTTATCATTGATTAATTATTAAATTATCAATTATTTATTACTAAATTATATTGATTTACTTTTAAATTTTCAATGATTAACTACTAAATTATCATTGATATACTACTAAGTTATTTATGATTTTTTAAGTTTATCAATTAATTACTATTAAACTGAAATTGATTTACTGTTAAGTTATCATTAATTTACTATTAATTTATCATTAATTTATTATTAATTATTAATAATTAACCATTTAATTATTATTTTTAAAAATTACTAAATTATCACTTATTTTTATTAAGCTATCATTGATTTATTAATATGTTATTATTTATTTACAACTATAAAATATAAAATTTAAAAAGTCCACTAACAATATATAAGATAATTTTTTATATAATAATATTATTACTTTATTCAAATTTAGATTTTTTTTATTGAATAGGTTCATGATAAATTTATCCTCATACTCTAATATTAAAGTTTTGACTTTGTTTTTACAAATAACCGATGTTTAATCCTTAGCAACTGTAAGTATAAAAAAGATTATCATGATTAACAATTAAGTTATTATCGATTTACAACTATGTTATTAATGATTTACTATTATGCTATGAGTGATTTACTATTAAATTATCAATTTACTATTAATTTACAAATGATTTGTTATTAAGTTATGAATGATTTATTATTAAATTACGAATGATTAACTGTTAAGTCGTCACTAATTAAATATTAAGTTATTGATGATTTACTACTAAATTATACTAATTTATTTTTAAAATTTCAATTATTAACTACTAAATTATTAATTATTTATTATTAAGTTATCATTTATTTATCACTAAATTATTTATAATTTACTACTATAAATTAATTACTATTAAATCAAAACTGATTTACTATTAAATTTACTATTAATCTATTATTAATTTATTACTAAGTTATCAATGATTAACTATTACGTTATCACTTATTTTTTTAATAAGTTATTATTAATTTACTAGTATATTGTTATGCATTTACAACTATAATATAATTGATTTACTACTAAATTATTATACATTTGTTATTATGTTATTTGATTTACTACTAAGTTATCGATATTTGACTACTAAATTATTATTCATTTATTATTAAGTTATCACTGATTTACTATTAAGTTATCACTTATTAACTATTAAGCTATTGATAATTACTAGTAAATTATACCTATTACTTTTATAATTGATTACTAAATTATCAATTGTTTATTATTATGTTATTATTTATTTACGTATATCCAAAAAAATAAACACAATGTATGTTAAATGATATTATTTGTAAAGTACAAAAAGAAAATAGAAAAAGTTCAAGTATAAACAATTTAAAAAGCAATTTGTAAATATTCTTAATTTGTTATAAGTAGTTTAACGCATAATAATAAATTAAAATCATATGTTTTATTATAATACAAGTATAAAAAATAATTAAATAAATTTATACAATATATATTGAGTTAATATTTCTAAGATATTTTTCACATTTTTAATTCATAGTAAATTAGTACATACTAAGATAAATTTTATTAATGATTTGATTAAATAATTAATATATGTATTTTTATCTCTGTAAACGAAAAATAGTTGCATATAAAAAAATCAAAATTTTTTCAAGTTTTTGCCAACATTGAAAGTAATAAACTTTGCCCTATATTTATTATTTCAATGACTCAATTATAAACAAATATACTTCATTTGATAAGTTGTCATGTCATTGGAGCTAGTACTTAAATGTTGTAGGTTTAAAAGAGTTTAGGTGCGTAATATTCTCTTCAGCTACGTATGCAGTAGGTAAGAAAGTTTAAGGGTAGATTAAAAATTTTTTTAAAAGAAAAAACTTCAATGATTTAATTATTATTATTTTTAATGAATTTATTTATCAATATAAATTACATGTGCAATTATTTTTATAACACTAAAGAAACAAATATTATATAATTGTTTTATTCCTATGAACTCTAATAAGTTTTGATATAATTATATTTGTATTTTTCTTTGATGTGAAAATCATATTTTTTGTCTCAATATAACAATATAAAATTTTATTTAAATTAAAATTTATAAAGAATTTACTAATGGTATTTTACTCAATCACTTTAATATTTTTTAAATTAAAATTTTAATAAATGTATTTTAATAAATTATTTTTTAGTAGTTTTGAATCTAATTATAAAAGAGTCTAATAATAAAAAGTTCATTTAAATTAAAATTTATAAAAAAATTTACTTAAGATATTTTAATCAATCACTTTTAACATTTTTAGAATTAAAATTTTTAAAACTTTAAATAATTTATTTCACATAATCTCTATTTTTAATTTTAGTTGATTTAAATTAAATTTAAATAAATTAGTAAAACTTATACATTTAAAGATAAATTTATTAATTAAAAAATTTATAAAAATATTTTAATCGATCACTTTTAACATTTTTAAAATTTACTCTCTTGCATAGATTAGAATATGTAATAATTTATATTTAAAGTGATTAGAAATGTGGTTTCCAAGAAGAATGATTTTCTCTTCATTTAATCTTTTCATAAGTCAATGTTTACATATTGATGAGAATTGTTATGTTAATTTTGTCCCATTTTATACGTTTATCTTTTTATCATTTAAATTTGATATAAGATCAATTTATTCCCAATCTAAAAATATAATAAAACTCCACTAAATTGTTAATATGATAATATCTTCCAAGCAGGCTTTTTCATGGTGGATTTGATGGGCTATGCACCCTTGATCCAATCAATATAATTTTGCTGGTTTTGGGTCCAAAAATTTCAAAACCATGCCAGAGTCTTGGCCCGCTGGGTTCTTACATATTATCCAAGCATACTCAAAGCATGAAACAGGTCTGAGATTGAGCTCCTCACGAGGTAATGAGAATAAAGAGGCCATGGAAAATTATTTTGAAAAGACTAAAGAGGTCTTCAAATTAAAAATCTGTGATATTCCAAGGATATTTTAAAAATTTGTTATGATATATAAATTAAAATTTATAAAATATTTTTTATAAAATAAAATTATAAAATTTTTGAAAATAAAAACATATAATATTTCACATGTTAAACCTTAGTATCTACAAGAAAATTTTCCATTCGAGTTTACAGGTTTCTGCTATGAAAAATTTTGAAGATCTGATGCAAATTTAAATATCAATGGCTCAATGTATTTGGAAATAGGTTAAGCATATACTTCGATCAAGTATTTCTCATGCATTTTGCTGAATTCATGTATAAAAAAAACCAGCGAGTTACCAATTAATGACGACATACTTCCAACCCCAGAAGGTGTTGAAGTTGAAATTACAAGCGAAAAAGACAAAAAATTCTGATTTCTGAAGCAAGCTTAGCTGGTGGATAATGGGGATTAATCCATAGACAGCTGACCAACTCTTGCGACTGATCAATTTCAATCTCGAAGCAATGCTATCTAGTTCACAGACGGTAATGCACCATCTTCTCCTTAAATGGTTAAAGGGCGAGATGTAGCCCCATAACCAGGGGGAATTTCTCTCATGTCAGAATGGCAAGAGATGTTATCTAGAAGCTTAAAACCCCCATCCTGTTCGTCTTTAGAATTAAAATTAGGGCAGCCCAGCCTTTGGCAAGTTATGCCAAAGACACAAACATGAAAACAAAAGATCTCTCCAACTTTCCTGTCCTTTCACTTTTGCCCATTCTTCTGCTCTCGAACATAATCCTCTCAAAGTTCCAAATAAGCTGTCTCTAATTAGATATACAAAATTCGAGTATGAACGTCAACAATCACGTGTTCGATTGATGGAATGTTAAATTTTTTTTCAATGTTTCAAATAAATTATCTCTAATTAGATATGCAAAATTCGAGTATGAATACCAACAATCACGTGCTCAATTGGTAAAATGTTGAATTTTTTGACTTTGCTATCATGACATTCGAACGTGAGCTTTCTTTCATTTAAGAGGTTTAGGTCTTTAGTTATTTATTTTTAATGTTTAGTAGCATTTATAAATGTTATTAAAAGATTTATGATGTTTACAAAAAAACTATTAAAAGTGTTGGTTATACACATGTCGAGGAAAATAATGACATTTTATATAAAACGTCACTATTTTAGTAGTATTTATATCTGAAAAATGCTGTTAATTTAGTGATATTTATACCCAAAAAATGCTTCTAATATGGTTGCGTTTATATCATAAGATGTTGTTAAATTAGCGGCATTTTTTAGGACAAACGCTGAAAAATTAGCAGTGTTTGTATCATAAAAATGCCCTAATTAAGTAGCATTTTTATGATAGGAACGCCGTTACTTTTAGTAACGTTTTATGGTACAAACGCTACTAAATTTAGAATTTAGTTGCATTCTTGAACGTGATGTCACGAAATTAAAAAATTTACTTTTTTTTAAAAATTTCTTTTAATATTTATTATTTTCATTAAGAAGAGACGTTAAAAGAAAAAAAAAACTAAAATTCAGAAACTAAAATTAATAAATA